AAATGTCCTGCAGCAACAATTTTTGAAAAAGAAACCCCATACTAAGCACCATTCACCAATAGAAAGGATGTGTAGCCAAAGTGTTCTTGTTTAGCTTTGGGCAGAGTAAGGAAGCGTTAGAACCCCTATGGCAGGGGTGGGCAACTCCGGCCTTCAAGTTGTGCTTTAACTACAAATCTCAACATGCCTCTGTCTCTGGGAGTCATGCCTGTGGTTGTCAGAGTCTTGCAATGCCTCATGGGACTTGTAGTTTCACAATAGCTGGAGGGTCAGTTACCCACCCTTGCCCTATATGAGGTCCCTGCTGGGGAGATTTTCCCTCTGTAAATGTCCTGTTGACCAGTGTCACTACGCCATAAGGATGATAGGAAGTCCAACATTTTAGTTGTCACAGGAATAGGAAGTAAGGGGAAATCTTCCAATGGGGATTTTAGATACACTTATGGATGTTGTAGATGCTCATGGTGGAGCCACAAGAAAGCAAAGCAATATAAACCTCATACAGTTATGTTCACACCTCCATGTTCGCTGTGCAGTGCATTATAGACGCGTTTTACATGCATTATCATTCAAGTGCATCAAACCAGCAAGAGGCACTTTCAAAACACGCACGTGTGAACGCAGCCTATTAGGTAAGCTGCACTGTCATTGATGTAGTAACAGGTGAGGTCAGACACAAAATGTTACAGCTTGTTATCATCTACACCAGCCTTTCTCAACCACAGTGCTGTGGTACCCTGGTGTACCTTCTTGCCATCTCTCGGGTGCCTCAAATTTTTTTGCACCGTCATTGGATGTAATGTAGTAAAAGGGGTGTGGTCAGACACAAAACGTTACTGCTCATCATCTACACCAGCCTTTCGCAACCAAAGTGCAATGACACCCTGGGGTGCCTCCTGGACTTCTCAAGAGTGTCTTAAATTTTTTGCAATGTCATGCCTTTCCATGGTGCAGGAGGGCTGGCCGCCAGCACCATGGAAACCAATGATGCTAATCCTCAGCAGGTGGGATCCATTCAGAAAAGAATGGAAGTTCACCTCAGTCCTACTCTGCCTCCCGCCCTCTGCCATGCTGCCGCAGCTCGTGGTGTGGTGCTAGGGCTCCAATGTTGACGGGGGCTCCTGATGTAAAGGGGCAAACCCATCTTTTTATGTGTTTTTGCATGGCGTCTGCCCTGAAAATCCATACCAGTCCTCTGTCTGTGATAAGGGTCTGGATATGGATTTGAGGTTTTTTTTTACATTGATACATACATGAGAATTTGCATCTTGAGACACCCTGACAAAACGCTGAGAAACACTGATCTACACTACTTTCCCCATATTAGGAAGAGTGAAAGTGTAGAATGGATCAACAGATCATTGTTTTACAACAATGTACCATTTCTCCATTGGACTCAATCCAGCAATATTATTATAAAAATAGAAGACAGTTGTAAAATGTAAAGTTGCAAATCAGAAAATAAATTAAAAGACAACTGCAAACTAAAGTTGGGCTTAGCTTGTCATTACATGTGTAGATGGGAGCTGACATATTGGCTCATGACATCGGAAGGTTCTGCTTCCTGCTTCGTAGTGCTGCATAGTGGTTGTGCCTTGCCGATCCTCTCGCTCAATGTGAGTCTAAAGGACAGGTCTGGCTGGATGAAAACAATGCCCTCCCTATGTGGTGTAACGGCAGGGAGATGCTGGATGGAGAATCTACAAATCCAGAAACATAGAAAGTCATGCCGTAATTCAATCATATCTTACAATAATACCTCTGAATAGGTGCTCAGTGACAACACACAATACATTTACAGTGTGCCTCAGCCTTCCTTGCTGTGGGGATGCCAATAATATGCAAATTAGTAGCCCAGAGGCACGTGACACACTCAACAGCTATGTGCCTGCATGACATACAAACTGGCATCATAGCTGACACAGGAGCAGAGCAGGGAAAGCTCCCATTGCATCATGATATTTTCTCCAATTCAGAGCTGTTGAGTGACCACACGCAAGAAAATACATCAAAATCTGACAGCACGGAGTCACCGTGACAATTGTAATTTTCCTTCGTTTTTCTAAGATTATGTGGTCACATTGGACACAGGAATGGTGCTTAGTGGAGTTCCTTTTTAAATGAAATGGGGTCATGGTGCAGAGAGGAGAAGATGCCTGGCATGTTGTCACAGGATCTATGAGGAAGGGTAAGGCTTCTGCCCTGACCCACATGACTTACACTGACAATATATATAGATTTACAGAATATGTATAGGTCGCGTACAGAGGCAGCGGCCTCGCTAATACTTGCAGTGGTTTCTTGCTATATAACTTAGGAAAATAGTTCTTTTAGGGATTTCGATACTTACAACATACATACAAAAACGTCTCAGACATGCTTAGCAAATAACACCATGGGAGATGCTTAAAGGCCAACGCCACCCAAAATGATTTCTTTTTGAGTGGGCAATGATGAATTGAATCCTTCCATTGGCTTCTTATATCTCAGTAGTGAGACCCCCTGCTGCAGTCTATCCATGCCTCCCATAGTCATGGTGTCCCTCTCTGGAACAACCTATTTATTCAAGTGTACGGACAGTCAAAAGATTAGGATGAGGCGGGCAAGGATTAGAACCTCTGTTGGTTTTTACTGCCATTAGATAGATTTGTCCTCAGGAAGGGCTAGTGCATACCACCAGTGTTGCTCAATGCAAGAACAAAGCAATCTGACTTATGCCCTATAGATTAAGTTCGCACTAATGCATCGCTGGAAAAGAAAAATAGGACATGTTGCATTTCTGCGCTGTATGTGCCAATGCGCTATAAAGCATGTGCTGCAGCACATAGAATTGCATAGAGATTAAAATAGGAAAGAATGGATTTTAACAACAGCTGTGTGGTAGATAAAGGGCCCTAAGGCGTCACACTAAACGCACAGGATCCATGCAGTTAGAGCATGCTATGTGTAATGGTGCCACTGATTCCCAATGGGTGTGCATTGCAGCCCTGCACAACATGCATTGTGTTGCCATGCAGTGAAAAAAATAGTGTACGTGCCACAATGCATGCCCACTGGGAGGTGTGTTGGGGCACCATTGAGAATCACTGGCAATGCAGCACACCTAGTGTGTGGTACCATGTGACAGCATTCATTAAATGCATGGATGCCGCACAAGGTGTGAATGGGCCCTTACTGTCAGGCTGACTAGAAAGGGAGTGTGGGAAAATCTGCAACACAGACAACAAAAGATGACACTCTGCTAATACATTTTTATCTGTTGCTGTTGAGGTTTTTCCCTAACTTCCTGTCTGGTTATACAGTTGTCAGCAGGACAGGAAGTGAGGACAAATCTCCCTACTGAAGCTTGGTGTGCAGTAAAAATCAGACAGGGGTCTAATCCTTCCCCGCCCTAAGCAAAATTTTAATAAAGAATGTGCAGGAGTAGCAGGACACCATCATTTGGATTGGCAATTGCGTCTCCTACGGATTTAAGAATCCAATAAGTGATTCCAATTCCCAGCAGTAAGAAACCAGTTCCTGGTGGAGTTGGGCATTTAATTGGTGACAGTGGCAGACGTCTTGCTGGCTGAAGCGGTATCCGTGGAAATGCGGCTTGCAGAAATAAGCTGCTTCACGAAAACACCACCGATCACCTCAAGGACATAACAAAAGGTGAACTGTTCTCCTGAGAGAACAGTCAATGAACTCAACAGGAATCAGTGACATCACAAAGGGAGCCAATCAGTGTACTGGGAAAACAGACACCAGTCACAAATCACATGAGGGGAGACATCACAAAGCAAGCCATTAGTTTGGCTCATAGGCAATGTAAAGCCAAGCCTTTTCCCATTTATTTCCTGTTCCTTCATTTCTGTGTTAAAGACTGATGCCACTGGAGACAGGAAGTGAGATAAAATCTCCCCAATGGGGGCAAAGAGACATCACAAAAGCAAGTCACTAGCTCAAAGGGAATGTAAAGCCAATTTTTTTTTTCCCTATTAATTTATTTTCTGTTTGGGAGATTTCTCTTTACTTTCTATGTTAAAGACTGGCGCCAGCAGAAACAGGAAGTGAGATAACACCTCCTCAATGTGGACACAGCAATAAATCACAAAGCAAGTCACTAGTCTAGCTCAAAGGGAATGTTTCTATTATATATTTATTTTTATTTCCTGTTTGGGAGATTTCTCCCTACTTTCTGTGTTAAAGACTGGCGCCACCACAAACGGGAAGTGAGAGAACATCTCCCCAATGTGGACACAGCAATAAATTACCTGGAGACATCATAAAACAAGTCACTAGTGTGGCTCAAAAGGAATGTAAAGCCAAAACTTGTTTTCTTATTTCCATTTCCTGTTTGGGAGATTTCACCTTACTCTCTGTTATAGGCTAATGCCACCAGAAATAGGAAGTGATATAAGATCTCCCTAATGGGGACATAGCAAAACAAAATAAACAAGTTTTCTTTTTAACCCTTCCTCTGTTTTATCCAAAACCTAGATGAAAACGTTTGCACTTGACCTCCGCTATTAAAAATTGATGACTGTTCAGCCTGGGAGTCCCTGATCGTGGCGCCTCACAAATACCGCGTCACCTGACAAGACATTTACCACTGTTCCCTATAAAACAGGTGCTTTATGTGGCTCAGAATGTCCAGCGCAATGGAAACAAATGAGCGTCTACCTGCTAATTCGACAAACCAAAGCACCTTTGATAGGCAGAAAAATTACCGTATTTCTACAGTTTCCAAAAAAGAAAAGTAAAGTACTAAGTAAATCTACCTGATATAGTCAGAATCTTTAAAAAACTACAGTCGTATTTACACACGGGACAGGAAAATACTCTATTGTACTAAATATCTGATTCAAATTTACTATAAGTGACAATGTATGCCATGATTCAGAGCCCGACTCATGCTAACGCATTTCGGCTTCCAGTGTTTCGCTACCAAGTCCGGTGTTCCATCTCGGAACGCTACGGTGCCTCTAGCTGGCCAAAGTTTCCCAAGATGCAAAAAAAACCCCGAAAGAGAGGGAGATATAATACAGCGTCCCAGAAGTGTATCTACACGTCGACTCCTTTCGTGAGGGAACTCTCCAGGACAATGTTGAAGTCTTGAAGAGTTTGCAGCACTCGGACCAGAGAATTCACCATCATGTTGTCCCGTAGCAGAGCCATCTCCTCGTACATCCGAGTGATCGCTGGGCATTCGGCCAGAAGTGGAATCCACTGAGAAAGCAGATGATCCCTATTGGACAAAGTGAGGACACGTCTAATGAAACTACAACCTCTAAACAGTTTCTCAATATATTCAGTGAAAGTGGACCTGTCTGAGATGTAAAGACGTTCTACAAAATCATTATCCTGAGAGATTATAAATAAAATAAAAGGAAGTAAAAACTCACCTTTATCCTTTACTCTTCATCCTTCTGTTGCCCGGTCATGTTACCAATGCTTAGGCGGAGATCATGTGATCTCTGCAAAATGGCCCAACTATCAGTCTGATGCACCCGTACTACAATCTCCATTGGTCATGTGACCAATGCCTTGCAATTAGTCACATGATTGACAACAGAGGGATGATAGATTACCTATATCCTGCATGTTAGGTTATCTGATTCACAAATACAATTTAAAGAAAACCTATCAAACCTGGGCAACTCAATGTACGATAAGAGCACATAAACAGAGGCAGCCATAGATATTGGCAGCTGCATTTATATGTAAATCTTCATTTTTGTTGGAAAAGTCCATCCCTTGCTTAACTTCCAAGCCTTTCTATTGGTTACAGGGTCCGCTATTACATTTAAGGACTAACAGGGAGGCTTGAGAGGTAGAAGGGGCGTGTTCAAGCCTGACTTTTACAGGAAGTCAGCTACCTCTTACTACGATTTATAATATGAACTTTCTATGCTCCTCAGCTCCACGTAGTGGCAGAATGCTGTGCGAATGGCATTGCCCAGCATATGGCTGGGCAGAAGATTTTGAAATCGGCCCCTATGTGTGGTTAGCTGTGTTCGCCCCCCCCTACCCCCCCGGTAGCCCTAACCCACGGCCTATAAATCTATCCCTGCTTACCATCAATATGTTATCCATATTTCTAAGAGATTTTGCGGCTACGCTCTCTGCTATCTGGAAAAATGCATGCCGTGAATATATAAAGTTTGCTATATTTTTTATTTTCTTGATGACAACCATCCTTTGAGTGACCGATCTCCCCCACACTTATACACCGACTCACCTCGCTCCCAGGCACACCAGCACCTGAAACTTCCCATCCTTGCCGATATTTCTGGGGGCGGCTACAATGGAGTTGACATAGTGGCAGAATGTTTTGCAGAACGACAGGTGAAGGAGCTGGTCTTCCTCGCCATCCCCGAACTGATCAGCTGTTTCAAAGTAAGCTACGGCCTTCTCTGTGTACAAAGCACATTGGATGGCTTTTAATAATGGAACTCTGAAGGGTGCAGATCACAGAATGAATGTAAACAAGACACAGTGATAAATCAAACAGATGTTTTTTAAGTAGATCTAAATCCAAAAATGTAATATATCCCAGCTTACTAGTTCTTAGATATGGTGGCTGCATTTGTTTTCTTTTTGCCTGGTGATCCTGCCAGTGACACACTTCCTGTCCTTGGGTGACAACGCTCACTCACCATACTGCATCAGGACGAGAAACAGGACAGGACTATAGAACACTAGTGATTAGCTCAGGTTTGGACCGAACCTGAGCTCCTCTGATCCTAAAAGTGCCACGGGGCCACCTGCCCAATCATAAACATACATACACAAAATTCCAGAACATAAAATGGGGTGAGATGCTTGTGCTGCTGTCATTGACCTTATATGGCCACATAGCCATATTGGGTAAATATTATTCACCAAATATAGCCATGAGGCCATATAAAGGTCAGTGATGTCACTGCATCCTGCCCCTTTGCAGCTGCGGATGGAGGATTTCTTGGCTGCAGCCGATATGGAAGCAGCGAAAGGAGCTCCTTCTGTGTTCGGAGTAGCTCAGGTTCGGACCAAGCCTAAGCTCTTCCTATGGAACACTTACCCTTTCTTCTATTTTTTTTAGGCCAATTATGTTTTCTGTAAGAAATATACCTGTTGATCCTGGCGGAAATCCAGTAGCACTTAACTGAAATCTGATCAGCCTTCCCAGCTATTACATGTGAACTACAAAACACCTGCTTCTCATGTTATGAAGAATATGGGGGAGGTGATCTGTAGTACTACTATTTATCGCTCTAGTCTAACAATGCTGTCCTTCATTCGTCGTCCTTGGCAGGCTGTATTTTCTGGGTGGGTGTCAGTGAGGAGGAGTGGGTGTTCCTAGGCAGGCTGTATTTGCTGGGTGGGTGTCAGTGCGGAGGAGTGGATGGTCCTAGGCAGGCTGTATTTGCTGGGTAGGTATCAATGTGGAGGAGTGGATGGTCCTAGGCAGGCTGTATTTGCTGGGTGGGTGTCAGTGCGGAGGAGTGGATGGTCCTAGGCAGGCTGTATTTGCTGAGTAGGTATCAGTGTGGAGGAGTGGATGTTCCTAGGCAGGCTGTATTTGCTGAGTAGGTATCAGTGTGGAGGAGTGGGTGTTCCGAGGTAGGTATGGCTGGAGTTCAGCTTTAAGAAGCCATCAAATCCCACCTTCTGAGTGGAAGTGACTTTTAAAGTGAAACCATTACCTATTAGAAAGTTGGAGCCATATTTTTGGTAGTAAACACTAAAATAAAAACACCGCAAAAGAGCGGTCTCCTCACTGAAGGGGAAAAAGTGTAACGCACGGACTGCACAGCCATTTGACAGATCGGGACAAAGAAACAGGCTGCCTTCTCCGTATCTCAGGAGAAAGTGACATTTAATAAAATGTCAAACCCGGGACTTGCCATTAGTCATCAGGAAAACTGCAGATATGTGACATATGTCTGACATTTAAAGTGATTTCATTAAAGGGTTCATTTAGGACAAGCATCTGAGCTGCCTGCAGGGGGCAGCAGAGACCTACAAAGAATGTTACAGTAGTGATAAATCTGAAATGCACAACTGCTTTCCTAAACTTGAAGACCTACAGTCATCTGTATCCTCCTATGTATACTGCCTGCCCCTACTGAACACACATTGAGCATTGAAGGAACATACAGGACTGATTTTTTTATTTTTGCAAGTCCATTTACATGATTTGAATATCTAAAAGCATATTTGAAAGTACACTTATCCTTTAAAAAACCTTTTTATTAGGGATGCACCGATACCACTTTTTTAAGACCGAGTACCGATACTTTTGATGAAGTACTCGCAGATAACAATTACCGATACTTTTTCTTAAAGGGACAGGTCACTTTTTCTAAAGCAATACAAACTAATGCTTTAAGGTCACTTTCTTAATATTATGATTCATGAGATGACGAGGGAGCATGACGCCGGCTTCCCGGCCAATCAGAATGCCGTCATTACACGGCGCCCGGCTTCTGGATTTGCATGGAGCCGTTTCCTGGCCAATCAGGAAACCGGGCAGCGTGTAATGATGCGCTGCCCGGCTTCCCGATAAGTACTCGTGCTAGGTATCGGAGCATTTGGGCGAGTACAAGTACTCACCCAAATACTCGGTATCGGCACCGATACTAGTATCGGTATCGGTACATCCCTACTTTTTATAGATTATTCTACATTACACACCTGTGGGAGAAGGCTCCGATAACAGCTAGTCTCTGATTCAAGGTCCACCTACAACCTCCAGGTCAACAAATGGGTTGAGTTTCACTGTCTAAAGGTGCCCATACACTGTGCAATTATCGTACGAGAATTACTGGAAATTCCGCGATCGTACGATAATCGCAAAGTGTATGGAAAGCGTGCAACCGTTTCTACTGTACGGTCGCACGTCTTCCGTCAAACAAGCAGGCTGGAAAACACGCCGAGAATCGTACGATTATCGGCGGGTTAGTGGCCTGCTTGTTCGACAACTGCCGAACGGGCCGGTGTGCGCACACTGCCCGTTTGCAGTCATCGGAAGCCCGCCCCTCATTGCGATGATCGCAAGTACGGTCTGCCTGTCCAAGATGGGCAGATCGTACGTTTTTTTAAATTACTTTACAACCCTCGACAAAAGTCTTGCGAGGGTTGTAAAGTGTATGGCCACCTTTAGGCCTGGTTCACACCTGGGCGTTTTACAGCGCATTCCTACGCGCTGTAAAACGCTCAACATGTGAAAACCAATAATTGCCTATGGGCATGGTTCCCACCTGGGCGTTTTACAGCGCGTAGGAAGGCGCTGCAAAACACCCTACGCCCAAAGAAGTACAGGAGCTTCTTTGGGGCGTATTTGCAGCGTGTATCCATTAGGATACAGCCGGATAGCCCTCGCAAACGCGCGTTTGTCTTACCACAAATCGCGGTAGAAACGCGCGACAAACGCACATATTTCATACGCCCAGGTGTTAACCCAGCCTAAGTCCCTGTTCACACCCGGGCAGTTTGATGCTCAAGGCCAAGTGCGACAAAACTCTTAACAGCTGTAAAACGCAGGAAAAGGTACATGAGCTTCTTTTGGGCAGATTACAGCACGTTTGGCCGCATAGACTTCAATGGAAGCGCATTAAAACGCGTGACACGCGCGGTTTGCCCATTTCTGTGCGCCAGTTTCCTCATTCACAGCAATGCATTTTGATCTGCTCAAGAAAACGCGCATCTTTGACTATGCGCGTCTAACGCGCATAAAAATGTGCAAAACGCGCAAGCCATGCAAGGGAAAAATGAGCATAAAAATGCGCGTTTTATGCGTGGAAACGCTGACACCTAGGTGTGAATAGAAGCTTTGGACCAACCAGGGACATAAGTCAGTCAATGGCTGCTTCCATCAGAGCCTTTTAATACAAGAGTTTTGATCTCCTTTACAGTGACCCCATCTCTAAAACTAGAATACAAACAAAGCTACTCGGCAGAAGATCACCCATACTTACCTTTTCAGCCGGCAGCGACTTTAATCTTCGCTGCTGCAATTCAACCCTCCTGCTTGTGTCAGTCCCCAGCCAGCAGCTATGTCACTACTACCGTGTTTCCCCGGAAATAAGACATTGTCTTATATTGTTTTTGGCTCAAAAAAACACACACTAGGTCTTATTTTCGGGGTAGGTCTTATTGCAACAATCCAAAATTAATGTAAATCCAAATTAAATCATCCAAAATGGCAAAGTTAAGAATAGGGTGATCAAGGCAATCAAGGGTTACCTTTCAAAGAGCTATTGGCCAGAATGAGCGAAGTGCGCTTTTACTATCGATTCCTCACAGGCGGAGTGCATTTGGTATCACTCCACCTGTGACAGGAGCCAGTGCTGTAGAGGAAGCATTGGCTTATGCGGCTCTGCTCCCTCCGCTGCCGCCTCGCTTCCTCTAGCGTTGGCACCACTGATTCTCTCTGGCGGCTCTTCAAGTTTTCCCTTATGCCACCACCGGCCCTGGGAATGGTCACAACTAGCTCTTATTGTCAGGGTAGTCCTGCATTGTACAGGAGGACAATGAGAGCCCATCCACATCCTGGAGTGCTGGAGGAATAAGGTAAGTATTTGTACTTAAGCCCCCCAAGCCAAATGAGCATTATGCATTATGCCCAGCCCCGAGTTTGAATCTAGGGACATATAAGGCTTTTGTTTGGTACTCTGGCATCTTGGAATTATTTTTTGTAATTAGTGTATTTAACAATTACAGTATTAAGTAGATGTAGATTAACATCTACAGGCTACAGTGACCTCTGCATGCTGAAGGTTTATTTTGACAATGAACCTCCAGCCTGCCAAGATAGTGATCACATGATCAGAAACCACTCTGATTGGTTAGTGACAGCCTGTTCTGACAGCTAGAAGCAGCACACAGTGCCCCCAGCTATCTGTAAAAAGGAAACACATATAAGCTCTCCCACAGCACGGGCCAACATAAATCTACAACAAGAAGCTTGCCCTCAATGAGCAGCCAAGAAAAAAGCTGGCAAATTTGTAACCATGGCTTGAGGAAAGATGGAATTCTGGGTAGAGTGGGAAAAACAGGCAGCCATAACACAACAGTTATTAGCATGGATGTTTTTACACAGCTCCCCAGGGTATGCAGTTTACAAATGAGTCTGTAATTGGAATAATGAGATTACGCTGATGGATAGTTTAGCTGCTCCTACAAAGACATAATCATTCACCTTGTCTATCAAGACACAGGCAAGGTGAAATAACATGAACCTGAAGATTGCATACAGGATGCCCGTTTGAGGAACCCAAGGAGCAGTTTTATCAGGTAAAGTTGGAGGAGGACGAGCCTTTTGATTTTACCTATGAAGTCCCAGATGAAGACACTCTTGTGGAAAATGCGGGCCGATTTAAATCCATGATGGAAGACATGCTCCAAGGCTGAAACAAGGCCATTTTCTCCGCAAAGCAGGATGGTTAAACTGCCTCTCTGCAGGGAAACAAATCACATAAGAGGCTTTAAAGAGGTGCTGCTAATATGGATTAGTGCAGCGGGACTGACTGCAATGGAAAACAGCAGCTGACAAGGAAGGGCGCTTCCTCCAGCACAGCAATGACATAGCAGAGGACATTCAGGCACAATTACACTGCTGTATACGACTTTTGTATGTTTTCTGTATACCGATTTCATACCTCTCCCCTACTGTTCTGGCTCCATTTCTAATCCTTCCAATGTGCTAAACTAAAAACTAGATAAACATAAAACATCTACCCTTCCCTCCTTCCTGAAGTGAAGACTTTCCCTTCCCTCCTTCCTGCAGTGAGCGCTCTCCCTTCCCTCCTTCCTGCAGTGAGCGCTCTCCCTTCCCTCCTTCCTGCAGTGAGCGCTCTCACTTTCCTTCTCCCTGTAGTTCTTGCTTTCCCTTTCCTTCTTCCTGCAGTGTATGCTCCCCCTTCCCTCTTTTCTGCAGTACACACTCCCTATTCCCTCCTTCCTGCAGTGCTCACCCCCCCTTCCCTTATTTCTTCATTGCAGACTCTCCCTTCCATACCTCCTGCAGTGCACTCTCTCCTCTTGCCTGTAGTGTCTTCTTTTCGCACTATTTACTTTTGTGCATTGCCAGTCCTCCTCATACTGCTTTCTTTTATGCATTTATTTCTCTCCTTGTCTTCCACCCTTTGCCCAGTCTCCCAATCCTCTTCTCTGTACAGTCTTCCCTAACCTCTGCTCCATACTTCCGGGTCTTATTAGGGTCTTCTCTGCATTGAAGTGTCTAGTCTCCATGCCGTCTCATGTGCTCGATCCCATCTCTTTGTTCTCCATTCTGCTCAGCCTTGTTATCCTCTTCTCTGCCCTGTACTGCCCAGGCTCCTGACCTTCTTTTACGCCCAGTCTCATTGCCTCTCCCCAGACATGCACTGCCCAACTTTCATGCCTCTCTCTCTCTCTACTTTATCTCCACCTTATCACCCTTCTTGCCATTTTCCCTCCTCCAACCAATAACTATGTTATTTTATATTACAAAGAGCCCCTCAGACTAATATATTAGCTGTGATAAAGCGGAACCCAAAACTGCATCAGAAAGAAAATGGGACAGAGGGTCAGAGCAATTAGTGAGCACACGGCAAGTAGGTTAATCCAGAGTGTAAGAAGACTGGCGTTTTCAGGCCAGGAAGGATTTCATTTTCTAAATGGGGAATTACATAACCAGCCTTTTCTGACGGTTTCCCTTTACTGCAGTAAAAGGATCACAAGATGGCTAACGCACATTTATCTTTACACCGTCAGCTGACAAAACATAACGGCTATTACAATATTACCTCTTTTTCTGGCTTATGAAAGTGTTTCACGATATTGTTCACCGCTTCTCCGATGCCCTCCTGAATCTGACCGGCGTTTGGCTCTGTAATGTAGGACAAAGAACTCTATATTAAAGAACAGTATAATGTACATTCAGCAAGCAGACAGGCATTGGGTTATTAACCTTATATGTACCCAAGTATATTCCTTACTAGTTTTTACTAAATTATATGGTTGCCTTAGTTATATTTTTGTACTGTCATCTAAGCACAGATCGGTTCAAAGGGGGATTTGTATATCAGACAGTGTTCTCTGCACCAGTGCTGAAGTACTGATGTTATAAAATCAATTACACAATAACCAGCTGGGGAGTTAATGACATAATGAGCATTGCCTCAGCTATGTAGTTTAGTCAGTGACACTACACTTTCACTGAGTCATGTCCTTAGGCATACAATGAGATCAGATATATCAGACATGGATACTATGTTATGCTTGATAACAGGAAGCAAAACTGGCACATGTAAGAAGCAAATACGCAGGCTCCATGATGATATATAATGAAAAATAATAAAATGAAAAAGCATACATTTTAAAATAAATATCTGCTGGTGATATTTACAGGTGATCATGAAGTGCTGATTATTCAAAGAAAACATTCCTTAGAAATCTTTCAAAAGCTCCCTCTTCAATCTTACCCACAAAGATCCAGCTCCATCCTGCACACAGGGGGCTGTGGTACACACCGCACTGACCCCTGAAACTTTCTCACTGGGGGTGGTCTCAGATGAGAAAAGTCTAAACAAACTGGCGAGTGATCAAATCCACCACAGTGCAACCAAAACCACCACATTCTTATATGTCATTAAGATGTATACAAACTTAAAGCCCAACTCCAGGATCCGCATCACCCTGCCACCTTTGGAGACACCCCCAGCAGTACTACATGCTTTTTTTTATATTTGCCTTTTTCAAAAGTCTTTAGGCCTTTCACATGGGCAGCCCAATGGCATATTAGCACCTCCGCCTTGCAGCACTGGGGGTCCCTGGTTCGAATCCTGGCCAGGTCACTATCTGCAAGGAGTTTGCATGTTCTCCCTGTGCTTGTGTGGGTTTTCTCCGGATACTCTGGCTTCCTCCCACACTCCAAAGACATGCTATTTAAGGTTAATTGGCTCCTGTCTAAAAATGTCCCTCGTATGTGCCATAGGGACTTTAGATTGTGAGCTCCTTGAGGTCAGGCACTGATGCGAATGTGCACTGGGTAAATTGTCGGCGCTATATAAATACCTGTAATAAATAAATGACATGCTGCGTCCTCTTAATTTCCAGCGCTGGGTGATCCTCGAAGATACATCATTACACTGAGTGCATGGTGCTGTGGTGACACCAGGTCCATGACGCACTATGCTCACAGGATGTCCATAGTCTTCCTAGGCTGGAAAACTGAAGACATCCAGTCGTGGAAAACAATTAAAGCAGGTACAGCATCGGATAGGAAGGGAGTATAGCAGCCAAAGATGCATTCTTTTCTTTTTTGCTGGGGACGTTTTTTTAAATATACATTTGACCCGGACTTGGACTTTAAAAGTAAAAATACAACCACATAACATTATTCAAAATTATTAAAAGACCCGAAAAATGTACCCTGTTCTATAATCAGCAAAATGATCACAGCCCTAGAGTATTTAGCTTTTTGACATATGCAAAGAGAAAGGTCAGGATGTGTTGGCTGATGCATCTTAAACTGCAAAGGGCCAAGAAGTCGATGCTTCTACCTGGAGACCCTCATGAAGAGAGCGCCACAAGATTCCCTGCTTTGGCAGATATATAGTAACTAAGTTTCTAGCACTAGTCACATGACCAGACAATGGAGAGAAATGGAATCTACTCTACTTCAATTCATTTTAATTACACTTGGACGGTTAAAACTCAAACCAGGCCAAAATAAATAAATACTTTGAACAGAGAGGAAGGGAACTTTACCGCAGTCTGCAGAGATTTCCCCTTACTTCCTGTCAGGACAGGAAGTAATGAAAGATATCTGCAATGGTGGCACACACTGGAACAAAACACTTCTTTCTACCGTAGTAAAATATGGAAGGGTTAGAACCATCTTATTATTACTGCGGTCTCTGCCTTCCTGTCTCAGTGATAGCTGCACCCCTCATTTCTTGTTCTGACAGAAAGTAAAATAAAATCCCCCCAAAAGAATTAGGGACAACAAAAACTGAACAAATCTTGCAAAACTGTAAAAAAAATTTTTTGTCTGGAGTTAGTCTTTTATTATTTCAGGGCAAAGCTTGTGTATATAACAATTGCAGCTAAAACTGAGTGCGAAAAGCATATCGCTGCAGATAGACTAATGTCTTTATTCAACCTCAAATACTATGTAACTATGTAATTGTGTAAACATTACTTACTGCTGCTCTTGCCGGTGAGGGAGGTGATGCTGAGCCGACGACCCATCGTGGGGGATTTCTGCTGCGGAGGAGTTCGGCTCTGCTTGCAGAGATCATCATCCGATACCGGGGTGATCAGCTCGCCGATGAGGATTCTTTCTAAGCTTCCGTCATCCACTCCCTTTCCTAACCAACGACCACACGGGAATCTGGAAGGAAAGGGGGGATATCACTTTCAGTAACAGCTGAATCAGATGACATGGGCAGCTGGCAGTCGTTAGCCACAAAGGATCAGCAAGTGTATCTAAACCCAAAAAGACAAATGTAACACATTGCAGCTTAGCAGTACCTAGATGTGGCGGCTGCATTAGTTTCCTTTTTTCATGGATTTTTTTTACCAGATGAAACATACTTCCTGTCCAACGCTCACTGCTCTGCAACAATGTAGGAGCAGCGTTGTCACCCTAGGCTGCTCTCCTGATTTAGCTTACAAACACCTCCCCCTCTCCTCATCGCCATTACATAGGGAGATGTGCCATTGTAGTTCACAGAAGATAGCTGAGAAAGCTGATAACATTGTTTGAGATCTCAGCTCAGTGCACAGGAAGTTACAAGGATATGGGATTTCTGGTAGGATCAACAGGCATTTTCAATACTTGCAGAAAATGTACTTAAGAAAACGAATGCAGACACCACATCTAAGGACTGGAGAGCTGCGATATATCACATGCCTGTTCTGGGGTTTAGATATACTTCATACATTTTTTTGAAACCAATTTATATTTTAAGAAATGTTAACAAATAACACAATCAAAAATGATCTGGGGCCAATTTCTGCTGGATTCCATTTACCATGGGGGGATAAAAATGGAATCATCTATCTCTGAATATATTCCATAAGCACCTGGAGATAAGTAAGCAGCATACGCCCC